TTTCATTGTCAATCCTCAGAAGCTTACAACAGTGTATATATACACAAAGGATGAAGAAAAAAAATGAATGAATTTATACTTGCTTTTTTTTGTACAAATGCACGAATGCATAAATAATACATTTAATACATATTTACATACAACATGGTGTTCAACGTTCAATTAATTAACATTAAATGTAGATGTAATTCTCTATTTCATAATAGAAACGGAACAGTCCAAAATTCACAAGTGTCCAATAATAATTACAAGAAAAAGTTCAGACACTAGTATCAGTTGAAGGCACAGGAACACGAACTGAGACTAGGAGGATTTCAGAATAGTATTGGATCGATCGCTCTCCAAGTGTAAAAGTTTGGATTGTGGAAGTGCCTGGTCTGACTACACAGAGTTTATGAATGTATAACGGGGTCTCTGTTAAGAACAGCTTCTAGAACGCCTCTTTGCCTGCGTTATCCATCCCGGAGAGCTCATCAACGGATCCTCTCTCTTTCTTCAGCATGCCTGATTTTGATTTCCAATTTTTTCCAATACCTACCATCAGGAAAACGCAGCTCTTCTCTACGCTGTATCGATGATATGCCATCGGCAACCAGGTCAACGGGCTTTCAGGTTTGCATTCTGCATAATTACGGCTTCAAAATCGTTTATATCAAAGTTGGGGTTACGGCGAAGAAGAAACGTAAGACATTGATAAAATCTAGATGATGGTAGGATTGAGGGGATGACTCACTCTTATGAAGAACGTAGCAGGGAGTTTTAGTAAAAGTCGTCACAGGCGCAGGGGACGCAGATGACAAGTGTGACACTGGAGAAGGCGGAGCTAGAGCTGACGTCAGGAAGGTGACAGGGGGGTCCACAGATGCAGCAAAGGAAGGCTAGCAAACGTCCAGGAAATCAAAATCAGGCATGCTTAAGACAGAGAGAGGATCCTTTGATGAGCTCCCGGGTGGATAACGCAGACAAAGAGGCTTGACTACCTAAAGAAGTAGAAATCCCGGGAGTAGATAAAGAATCCCCCACAGCAAGGCCAGTTGGCGTATCTGAAATCTCCATTGACAGGAAAGGTAGAAGGCAACGGGAGGATCTTAGTAGCCACACAAGTTCCAGGGGTGTCTTTGGTAAGTGAGGTCTCTTCCCTACTAGATATTACTTTTCGCACTGGGGACTTGGTAGGCTTGTCTAGGCTGTAAAGATCAACCACCATGGGGCTACCCAGAGGGATAGATATAGATGAGGACTGTAGAGGCTTCAGCGGCTGGGTGGACTTCTGTGGCACCCTGTCAGTCAATGGGGAAACAGGAGTGCGACCAGTCGAGGGGAAACAGGAATCTGGCGGTGTCTTTGAGAGAGTTTCCGGGGTAGATTTCTTGCTGCTAATATTGGCGATCTCCTGGATAGGGTTCTGTCTGAACGATACTCTTTTGAAGATGCAGAATGTGAAATACTCCCTCCTCTCCTCCTCATAGTCCAGGTGAATGGTTGGCCTCGGTGTCAGCTGGATATATGATGCTCCATCAGGTAGCGAAGTGGCGGGATGGTATAGTGGCAGGTGGAACACTTGAGGACGTTTCCTAGAACCTTATGGAAATGTCTTGCTAGTTGTGTACGAAATTTGAAAGTACGGGGGCACACTTGGCAGTCAAACATCTGGAATCAAAACAAAAATGCATACGGCGACATTTTTAAAAAAAAAATTAATATTTGTAATATTGCAGGAATATTAATGAAAGTTTAAATAACCTTTTTGTGCCGTTTGTTTTTTTTTATTTTACTTGATGGTTTCTCCGGGTGCCGTCGCCCGCATGGCGCAGTGGTTAGAGCGTCTTCTCTAAAGTCGTGAAGTAAGGAGTCAATCCCTCAAGAAGTTCAAATTCCTCTGTGGGACGTGGGGACCAGTCTTTCGGATGAGACCGTATAAACCGAGGTCCCGTGTCGCAGTAGGTGCTGACACGAAAAAGATCCCTCGCTGCTCAATGGCCCTCGGTGACATTACCTGCAAATCTGTGGAAACCTTCAATCAATCGCACAGCTATCTCGCCCGTGGGAAAAATTATCTCATGAACGTCTGGACAATTGCTGCAGCTACTGCCTTAGAAATACGCCTGGCTGAAGACCCTGAAATGTGTAGAATGTCACCAACTAGCTTAAGCGTAAGAAGAGGAGAACTCGAAGCAAGGGAGGGATGCGTTGATTCCTCTTTACTTTCTCTTTACAAGGGGTTTGACAATATAGACGATAGAAGCCGATGGAAACCTACATCTTTGGAATACCTCCAACTCATCCAGACTCTCCAAGGGATTGCTTCTGTCCTGAAAAATCATGGGACACGTCTTTGCCATCGCTTTCTTCGTCAATATCTAACTGCAACAGCCATTTTGGATAGTTGAGAATAGACTTAAGTAACTTTCTTAAGAAGTGTTCTCAAATATTTGAGAATAAAACCTATTCTGAGATTGTTTAATGCTCAAAATTTCTATGGCGGTGGCTGAGTATGAGAATTGGGAACATTCTCAGACTTAAGTATGATTTATGGCGTTGAGGCCTGAATACCGTAATCTTGAATTTTGATTACAGTTTAAGAAGCGTTGATCTTTGCCATATCTTTGTTAATTATTTTAAGTACTATTCCAGAAGGTGTCAGGTCATTTCTCTCGAAAACTTTTTCTTTCCCAAGTTATTTCTCTCTCCTACCATTTCAAGGTAGGTCATTTCACCCCATTTTTAATCTGCTCTAATATAATTAGTCCCAATTTCATTCTTTTGTTATCAACTCCTACCTTGTCATGTTTTTTTTATTGATTTATGACTATAAAAACTGAAGGAGAGAAGATCTGCCGGTATCTTACATTCTTACTTTCAGGATTTTTTAAAATTACATTATAAAAACAATAAATTCATACCGTTGCCCAGCCCTTGCCACGTGGAGGCATCCTCGTTAATCAAGGGTCATAATTTTGAAAGAAAAATTTAAAACTAAAGTTAATAAATTTATTAAAATGATAAATATATACCTTAGCTGATAGGGACAGTATACAATATGTACAAAGTAGCCAATTCTCAAAAATTAGTTAATGCGAATTGCTCAACAACAAAAAAATACAGAAAACTTACTCCGTGTGGCCATAGACACCTTCACAAATTCTCAGGAAATGGCTTGTAGTGATCATTTCATCGTCATAGTCCGACTAAGCATGCTGAATTTTCTTTTCCACTCGTGTGCTGGTTATTCTTGCATCACGAGAAAATAATATTAAGGGGGCATGATAGGGGGGTGTTACCGATACATTTTAAGGTACACATGAAAAAGTTATCTTCGGTATCGTTGTTGGTTGTAGGTTGACCATAGGTTGAATAGGGAAGACAGCATTGTTAATTCACTGTCTTTCCATGTAGTCTGTGATAGACTTTAGAGAAGAAGATTCCTTAAATTTTTCTTGCATTGCCTGGAACATCGGGTTGATGTCATTTGAAGGCAGAAATGGAAGGGCTATGGGCCATTAGCTGTTTAATGAACCAGTAAGTTGCCTTTTTCTAACGATAGGTGGCAGCTAGTCCAAGGTTCTGCACATGTCTCCATAATGCCTGTGTCCAATGGAAGACGCACTCACGGATAGAAATGCCGGGCACTACTTCTCGGATGACCTGCCAAACCGCTAACGAAGGCAAATTGATATTTATAGTGTATCTTACAAGTACATGTATAATCCTCAACTCTCTTTTATTTATATACTCGGTACTATTTTTTTTATTTGCGTAATGAGAGTAGGAAAAATGAAATACCTTTATCAAAGTCCAGCATAATTTCCTCAACTGGTCCATCTAGCCGTTCTAATATGGCTTGCAAAACCTGAAGGAACAGAAAAGTCGAAAATATTTCTCTGATTTGCAATACCATTTTACAGGGATTTTTTTTACGAGTCTGTGATGCATTCGCATTGTGTCACATTACCTTTGCCTCACCATAATATAGTCTTTCTTCTTTCTCCTTGACATCAGGGCAAATACCAAAGGAAACCGTTTCTTTTGACCGCTCTGTTGCACAAAGGCGTGTATAGACATCATGAACTCGTAACATAAAGCTTGCTAAGATTTTGACTTAAATAGGCTCATAAGTAGGACTTTAGACACATTCCTAGGACCTTCCTAAGTATTACTTAAGTCAGTCTTATACCGTAACATAAAACAGACTAAGCAAGGTCTTAGCTAAGTCAAACTTAAGTCGAAAATATTTATTGGGAATAACTTTTAAATTTGACTATAAATTATAAATGAAACATGAATCAAGTCAAGTTGATTTTTTAAAGTAGAGATAAAATTAGTTAATTGGCAATTAGTTAATAATATATTTCGTTCTGAATTCCTTCTATGAAATATTCTTGAAATTGGAAATGCTTAAGATAAGGATGTGGAAAGGACAGGGCTTTAAAAAAAAAAAAAACAGGAAGTGATGGACTACTCGGTGCAGCAACGGATGCAGTTGGGGGGGGGGGGGGTGGCAGATTTTCATTCTTATAAAGTTTAACATTGAGTATGCACAGTTATAATCCTTAGTAATGATGCATCTAATACGATTTATTTTACTTGACATAATTGATCCATCTCTGAAAAAAATCCTGAATCCGCCCTTGTCGTGTTCAGTTTACATATTGTTATAATTACATATCGTTTAAGTCGCCCGCGTGGCGTAGTGGATAGAGCGTCTGCTCTAGAGTCGCGAAGTAAGGAGTCAATCCTTACGTCGCGGGTTCGAATCCCACTGCGGGACGTGGAAACCGGTCTTTCGGATGAGACTGTATAAACCGAGGCCCCGTGTCGCAGTAGGTGCTGGCACGAAAAAGATCCCTCACTGCTCAAAGGCCCTAAGTGCCGAGCATAGGACACAATTTGTAGCCCCCCACCGGCAAGTTGTGGCGTCTCCATATGAATGAAAAATTCTCGTGGGGGACGTTAAACAATCAATCAATCAATCAATCGTTTTGAGAAGTGTTCACTGCATGCGCTGGTTTCGTCGTTGTCGCAGACATGGCACGGAAACCGAATTTCTCCCTACTTGAAATCGAAAGTATTATTGAGGAAGTCCAAAACAATAGTGATATTATAAATTCTTCCTTTTCAAACGTATCGACGAATGCGAGTAAGCAAAGACTATGGAGTGGCATTACATCAAAGGAAAAGGATATTTATTTTCATATTTTTAACATGGATTCTAACAAAAGAATAAAATTAATGAAGTGTAGAAAAAACATTTTCACCTTCTGAAATTCTTTTTGAATATCAACACGTCTTTTTTATACACCCGTTTGAATCAATTTCAGTTTTGGGGGGGGGGGGGGTTACAACGAAATATTTTTAGTTTTTTGGGCACTACCAAACAAGTGTAATTGAAGAGAGAAATATGTCATCTCATGTATTTAATATTCTCAAAACATTAATCATTGGTGGAGCCCACCTCCCCCAGTACCACCCCGGGGGGTATAATGCCATTATACATAATGTCTTGCCTTTAATTTGCATACAGAAGATGAGTGTAATATAAACAGTGTACAACATATCTTTGTACCATATGAATTTCTTTTTAATAAGGGACTTTTTAATACTAGTAGTTAATGCAATATAATTATAACACTTTATAATATTTACAACATAACACTTAAAGGTGAGCATTGTCAGCGGTGTTGAAAGTACATCAGAAGATGTTCGGAAAAAATGGAGAAATGTATCTAGCGATACAAAGAAGAAATTGTCAATGGCTCTGAGGGAAGCAAGGAAGACTGGCGGAGGAGTGTCATCAGCGGAAGCGCTCATCAACACTGAGATAAAGATTTCTGAAACTATGCGCCAAACCCCCGCTGAGGGAATTCCCGGGGGATATGGCACAGCTGCTTGCAGCAACCCTCAGTCTGTCGATATTGTCAACGAAGAAGACAGGTAAATCACATTCATTGTTGTTTATAATATCTTCAATTTTAAAAAGATATTATTGAGATACATACTTTTGAATTTTTTGACTAACTAGTAAAACTTGTTAATGAACAATGAATTACAAGATCAAAGTCATAGTACATCCAGCCAATCAACTTGCAGTCACGGTGAATTAGGGAATTCTCGTCCAATGGTATCCACAAGAGCTCCAAAAGAAATAGACCCTCAGCCTTTGATGGAGAGCAGGACCTTATTAAAATAGAGAAGGAGAGATTAGAGGTACAAAAAAAAATTAATTTACGATATCATGAATTTATTATACTATGTGTTTGTTCTAAGAAATAACACTCAAACACAATTAAGAGAGAATGTCACGAACCGTCAAGCTTCTTCTATACATATCATGGAAACTTGAAAAATTTGCTTTTTTAAATGGCACTGATAGTGAAACATTTGGGATGCGCTGATAACATTTTGGTATAAAACATGTGGCCTTTGTGAACCGTTACCATGGAAACCAAGACCAAACATCCCCAAGTGTGCAACCATATTGGTGAAAGTATATTTACTACATTTTTAATTTGTAGATACATAGGTGTCACATCTTATTAAATAAAAGTTAAAACACATAAGCATAGAAACTTATTCTAATATTTTTACCACTAAACATCACTGGTTAGGAAGTTAAGAAAATATTTTTATGCTTCTATATTCTAATTTTGTCTTAAATAATTAAGCCAAAATAAGAATTAAATTCTTTAATCTACAACAAGATTATCTCAATCTGGTATTAAAAATTAAACAAACACTTCCTTTTCTACAGAGATTCGGTAAAAAAATGAGAAGCATATGTTGCAGATAATTTTTATGAGCAATTTTCGGAACGTTTACCTCACTTAAAAGCGCTTGAAAAATTCAAAGAGTAACTTCCCTTAGCTGAATCTTTTGTGTAAACAATATGCAATATGGCGGCAAACTTGTGTTTTCTGTGACAACGGGGCTACAGTGGAACAGAGCTTGATCTGACTGGGAAGCAGACTAGTCATGTAAGTAGAACTTATTAAGTATACAGATTTAAGATCTAAATTCATATCATAAAAAACAGTAAATAAAAATTTAGGGAACGTAATTTGTCTGCAGACATGCGGACTACCAAAAACTTGGTAAAGTCTAACGTTAATGCCATACTTAGGCTAATCATAGTAATGATGATATGAGTTTTAAATAAAATACATGGTCTCCTGTTGGGTAAAAATGTATGGGATATAACACAACATGATATCCTGTGCATATCCATTCAGTGTAGCATATCAAGAAATGACCGAATTTCCTCAGAATTTTGTGTTACTAAGCTTGTCGCATATGGATTCTTTGATACTTCAAATATTCGTAGTTTCTCTTTGATATTTTTTAGGAAATCTCTTTTTAGTTGTTTTTTACATGCAGAAGTCCATTTCAATTTTTTCCCCAGTTACATGTATATATAATATCCTCCAGTGTCTGGTCCCCCAGTGACTTGGATTTTGACACCCTATGCATGGTTTTAAGTAGTTTTGGATTTCTTGTTTATATGCTAAAATTTTGCATTATTTGGGGTCTTTGTCTTATATAAAAACTTGATTTCAAGCAGAACCGCTAATTTTTGTTTTAAAGGTGAAAATTAAACAAACAAAATGTTTCTGTTTCTTGTGTTTTTTTTTTGTTTTATGAATATTTATTTTCTAACTAAGACAATAAAGGGTGCGTGGGGATGGGGTAGAGGTCAACTTCTTTCAGTACCAAATTTTATTCACACAATTATTTCACTTTACTGTAATAAAAAGAGGGGGCCGGGGAGAGGGGACCCAACTGGCCTTTCAATGAACATTTTCAATGCTGAAATTTATGTTTAGAAAAAAAGGGGGGACAGGCCCCCCTGGTCCCCCTATTGCTACGTGCCTGTTTATAAAAAATATATAAATTACATGTTTAGGTCTCATTGTAGAGAATGCTCTACAAATTGATCATTTATCATGAATTTTGAGACGATTCTAACGGAGAAATACCGATAAGTGGGATAATAGGAACTACTTGAAATTTTTTGCATATCTTGTGTAGGAAAGTTTCAAATGTAATGTAACAATTTTAAACAAAATGCTATTAGGAATTGAAAAGGTAAGTTAAGGATTTTTTGATTCAGTTTAGAAATTTAAAGTCCTACGCAAATAATGTATGGTACCTAGGGTATTCCGTATAGGTATTACCATATAAGCAGAATTTTTATGCACCCGGATTAATAGATCTGGGGTGTATATTGTTTTTGTCCTGTCTATTTGTCTGTTTATCTGTTTGTCTGTCTGTCTGTTGTCAACTTTAACATTCGCCAAAACTTTTGAACCATGATAGATAGAGGCCTAGCTCATATTTGGTTTGCACACTCCACTAATTATGTTCTTTCGAATGACTTCAAGGTCAATGACCTTGTAACCTTGATTGTGACCTATATGCTTAAAATAACTTTTTCGAACTTTCGCAATTACTTTTGAACCATAGGAGATAGAGACTTCATATTTGGTAAGCATACTACACTAATTAAGTTCTTTTAAATGACACCAAGATCAATGACCTTATGACGTAAAATGTAACCAAAATGCTAAAAGTAGCTTTTTCGAATTTTCACCATAACTTTTGAACCACGAGTAAAAAGATCAGAAATCAAGGGTCATAAAAAATGAACACTAGATATTGGAAGCCCTTGTTAGCTCATTATATTGAGAACAACTTTCAAATTTAGTATACTGGTACTGTCTAAGAAGTAAATTAAGCTCAATGATATTGAGGTCTGACATTGATCAATTTTAATAAATTGTTTACCCTAGAATTTTAAGTGACCTATTGCTTTACTTTGATACTTTCTAATTTTAAATATTGAAGGGGGTTATATTTTTATGCCCCTTTATGAATATGGCCAGGCCATATAGTGTTTGTCATGTCTGTCTTCTGTCCTTCCTCCCTTCCATCTTTCTGTCCTTCAATCACACTTTGCATTTAGCTCAGTGCAAAGCTTAGTTTAAAAAAAACTATCCAAGATATTTTCATCAAACTTCATATGCTGATAGGTATTGATGAGAGCTTTGCAACTGCATCAACATTTTTTGACTTTGACCTTTCCTTTGACCTGACCTTACTTTTCCTAAATTAGTGTTAAACTTCGTATGCTAATACGTATTGATGTAAGCAATTCAATTGCTTTAACTTTTTTGACCTTGACCTCACTTTTATCAAATGTGTTTAAGTCGGTTTTAAATAAACCATAAACTTAATATGCTGATACATAATGATGAGAGCTTTCCAACTTCATCAACATTTTTGACCTTGGCATTTCCTTTGACCTTGACCTCACTTTAAAGAAATTAGTGTCAAACTTCATATGCTGATACATACTGATGTAAGCAATTCAACTGCATCACTATTCAAGATATTTTGATCAAATTTCATACACTAATACAAATTTTCATTTTCCATTACTAATATACCCTTGAAGGGGCATTCATGTCCTATGGCCATATTTCTAGTTTCATAAATTTCTTACTTATTTAATTTTTTATTTTAACTATTTTTTTTCAAGACATCAGGAAAAGAAAACACTGTTGTATAAGACACAATTAAAGAAGATGGAGGCTCATCTGTAAATCAAGAACTCACAGTTCATAGGATACCTTCCAGCAGTTATTCACAATCATCTGATGGTGTAAATCCAAGCACAAATACAGATGATTTTGATTAGATTGTAAGTAGCAATTTAAGATATAAAATTTAATTTTTTTTTGTTACAAGTCTCTTAAAGGATATTTTTACTTATAAAATGATCAACTTAAATATTCTTTTTTTTAATGTTATATATACATACATGTATATTCAAATTGTTCACAACATTTACAATAAAATGAATTTTATAATCATTCAAGGTGAGATAACATAACATATCTGTCCAAGCTTATTACCAAAAGTACTGAAGTTATTCCACATTATTTTATCACTATACATAAATAATTTAATTTTGTTTGTATTCTTGCCTCTCATTGGTTGATTTCCAAAAAGGAACACAAATTATTTTGTATAATCTGGTTTAGTATGGGGACACACCCCCTTGACGACCAGCTGAATCATCCGTATCCATGCAATCCCCTCATTTTCAGTCCTCGGGATTCATGGAAAATTCCAGATTTAATAAATGTACCTTTAACTTCAAAAAGTAACTCAATCTTACCACATGTAAACAAACATCATTGCTGCTAGTTCTGTGAATCAGTTATTACCTCCCCTTGTTTCCCATCACTTCCATTACTATGGTTGTATTATTGAGCGGCAAATTTGAACTCATAAAAAGCAGCACAATTTTACATCCACATTTGTTTATTCTAAAATTAAATTATAAGGAATGACTCTAATTCTTGGCCAAATTATTCGGGTATAACCAGGTTTGGATCAGTTTACACTTTTTTATAATCCAATCCCCAAGCGTAAACTGACCCAAACCAGGTTATATCGAATAATTTGGCCAAGAATTAGTCATTCCTTAAGTAGAGTATCAATCCAAGCAAACTTTGTGCCATTTTGAGGACCATGTCCTATTGATAGGAGGGTATAAAATTTTCAATTTTGGTTAAGTTGGTGTCTTACAAATGAAATTTTCTTTGTAGATAAGTACGCAAGTGTCCATTAATTCACAAGGCAGCCTCTGGTTACCAAGCAGTCAAGATACATATGAAGAAGAGGAAGGAGGTGATCACCTAGAAAACATGAATAACAAGAGGAAAGCTCTAGACACTTTCCTGCAAAGTTGTGGCCTAAGTCCAGTAAAGAAGCAACTCAGAACAGATTTGAATGAAGCATCTGACCATACAAAAAGTGATTATATATCATCAGCTAAATAAATTTTTCAAGAGGTTGTGAATGTCCTTGCACCAGGTCAAGGCTCTCTTCTGCTGGATGCTTTATTGAAAACTGCTTCAGATTCTGCTGATACCAACATACTGCGATTTCTTTCAAAAGCCTATAACCTTTCTACTGACTGGGGATCACAGAGACAAATTTTGTCATTATTTGCTCATTCATACTCAGTGTTGCTTTGGTCAGATATATATTGCTAAGGAAAAATATGAATTTTTTTAAAAATATTAAATTGGTGTAAAATGTAATCAACTTATCTATTAAAAATTTGTATAAACAATTTTTAAATATGAAGTTATTAAATGAAAAAATAGATCAATTTCTGTCTTAACACTATACTGTTGCTATGATCTGATTATGGTTGCTAGACCATTTTCAATTTGTATTTGTTGTATTGTTTAAAGGAATCACTGTCTAGTTTTGAGAGTATGCCAGGGCATCAACAATAGTGGGAAACATCCCATTATGCTAAAATTATCCGATGTTTCCAACTATTGTTGATGTCCCTGGCATACTCTCAAAACTAGACTGATTCCTTATATTTCCATTTCATTGTGAAATAAAATTGTAGATTTAAACTTTAAAAATGTAGACATAGACTTAAATCACACGAGGACTTCCATGCCAATTTCAATAGTCCTCGCCCACCGACATCAAACACAAAGGCAGCCGCACAAGATTTACATGCATATTTGGTCTCCTTAGCGTCAGACACAGAGACAGATGCGTACAAGATTTGCATGCGTATTAGGCCTCCTTAGCTCCTGACCTATCGACCTGCCTAATTTACATTCCGGTAGAATTATCAAGAAATAAACTCCGTCAACTTTCAAAGAGTTATCATAGAGAAAAAAATTAGAAATGGAAATATTTTGTTATCAAATTCTTTTTAGAGGATACCTTTCAATTTTAAAGATAACCACTCTCTTAATAATTAAATTTTAGCAAAATATTAGATAGAGAGATTTCACTAATTTGTTACGACACCTTTCACCATCTATACTCCTTTCCATAAAGTTAGTGGAACAGTGTCCTTGAATTTGCTTCTTAGTTTTATTTATAACTATGGTAGATCAAAATCTTAGACTAAAATTACATAAATATTGGATCTAAGGATGCACACTATTAGATTATCCGTTTGAATTCCCATAACTATTCTTTTGGAGTATCATCAATAGTTTTTATTGATAATTCATGAATAACAAAATGTCTTTTCAGCTCTGTTGCTACTGACCTCATTTGGTTGCTATGCACAGAATATGATCAATGTATAAATTTTAGTATATTTTATTTTTTTTTAAAGAAAAAAAGGTTTTTCAATTAATTTATACTTATAAATTATAATACATGTTCTCCTCTATTTTTTTGACATGATGTTTCGAAAATGCCTTGGTTGCTATGCAGTAAATTTGGTTGCTATGGGCACATTACAGGATTTTTATCCCAAAATTTCACTATATTTATTAATGATGCAAGAGTATGATAGCTTTTATACATACAATTGTATCAATTTGGAAGAAAATTAAAATTTACCTAAAATATTGGAAGTGAATTTTAAGCATTCTTTAAAGAAATCAACCATGAAATTGAACAGTTTTCCCACAAAAATAGTAAAAATGCTTCTCAATTTTTTATGTCAGTCTTAAAGATCAACATGTATTGTGCAAGAATAAAATTCATTTAAATGCTGAACCTGTTGTAGATTTTATATATGTAAGTTTTATTTTGACAGATAAATATTTAAATTTTCACATTGTTCAACTATATAGTATTTGTGTTGCCATGGCAACAGATGTATGGGTATTTAGATTTGTTTTGAAACTTTTTTGTACACTACATATCTTTAATAGTTTGCATAAAGTTTGTTTAGGGTGATATCAGTATTCTTTCTGTAAAAATATTCTTCTAAAAAAGTTAAAATTTAAGCTTTTTTTCCTTCACTTATGGTGGTTTCCATGGCAACACATAAGAAGGTAGATAAATAATAGTTTTGTTGGTCAAACATCATTTTCATATATGTGAAAGTTGTGTACAATGAACACTTTTTACAACCAATACAAGAAAACAGGAGGTTAAAATTTTAAGTTTCCATCTGAAGCTTGATGATTCGTGACATTCTCTCTTAAAGTGTCAATATCCATTGTAGATAGAGAAGAAGAGGTTGGAGGTAGATGAGAAAAGACTAGAGATATAGGAAAGAAGATGCCAGTTAGAGGAAGAAAGAAACACGGGGATTTCTTATTTGTAACGAAAACAGAAATGTAAAATACTATATTTTACCTGCAGAGTTCAATGACTTCCAATAAAATTAGGAAAGTCTCAATGCAAGATGCCGTCTTGTCTCTCTTCCGTCATTGACAATTCCATCGTAGATAAGATTGTCATTTAACTCCATAGGTATCTCATTTTCTGGCAGAGGAATTCTTTTGTTTATGCACATGTTGTGCAACACAGCTGTTGCAACAATAATCTGAAATTGAGCTTTATTTCATTAATGTTGCGGTGTTTTAAAGACAAATAAATAATTCAATTACAATAAAGTGTACCTTGCAGGCTTTCGTGGGATCAAATAATATAGGTCCACCACTTTTATCAAGGCATCGGAAACGACCTTTCCACACTCCAAAACAGCGCTCGATTGTGTTTCTCGCCTTCATGTGACGTGAACTATCGAAATTCACTAGGTGTGGAAGATTGAAGATATGGGGTCAGCATCCAGGGTCTGAGGGGGTATGCTGAATCTCCCAGAAGCCACCCTTCGCCTATTTCACCTAAATACAAATATTAATATATTTCATCTGTCATATCAAATTTGAGCTTGTTTCATATATATGTATATCAGATAGCATTTAAAATTATGCTTAAAAATTATTATATTCAATACTAATACTTACCACATTCAAATAGCATTTAAAATTATGCTCAAAAGTTATTGTATTCAATACTAATACTTACCACTTTCAAACTTCAACGAAAGAGAAGAGTCTGTCCATGTGAAGGAATCATGTGAACTTCCAGGCCACTTGGCCACTAAATTTGTAAATCTGAGGTCGGAGTCACACACACCTTGTACATTTATGTAATGAAAGTTCTTTCTGTTGACATACAAATGTTCATCTTGTTTGGCCGTTTTAATGGGAACATGAGTTCCATCATAGCAACCCAAAATATTAGGAAACCTTGAAAACTCGTGATATTTTTGCATTACTGTGATTTTCTCTACATTTGAGTTTGGAAATCTTATATTCGTCTACATGATTTGCAATACGTGTTGATACCTATGATATTACCCGTGACACTGTCATTCTAGACATACCGTGAGCATCTCCTAAAACACTAAACAGACTACCGGTTGCATATATCTTAGAGCCGTGAAAACCTGAGTAGAGACATTCAATGCGTGGTTTCTTTTTGTCTGACGTTCCACGTCACATCTAACTAACTCACAAACTCTCTCTATCAAATCTCTGTCGATGCGATATCTTGAAATCAAATATTCATCGTCCTCTGTCTCTCCAAGAAACACCCTGTCTTGCAATGTCCTGTTCTTTGTAATATTTCTCAAACAGGTCCAGTACAATCACTACATTTAGCTACGTAGCTATATTTACCTACTTAGGTATTTAATCCTACCGGTAGTACTGTAGCTTTATTTACCTACTTTGTGTACTTCCGCCCGTGTTTTTTGATTTTTCGCGGAAAAATCAGAGGCGCAAGATGGTAAGTAGCAAGACTTTAAATCCGCACCTTGATCGATACTTTAACACCACGCATTAACTTTATATTTACTGCATTTATGCACTGTGGCGGGTTAAATCATTGCCATACATTAACGTAAGGGGAAAAGTGTAAGTATTTAGCTAAATTTTATCATAAAATGGCAAATTGAAAAAGGCTTGTGAAATTTTTTGTAAAATATTTATTTTTTTTATTTTTTATTTTTTTTTAATTGGAAAGGAGAGCAAAGAACATTCGTTCGACGGAGTGAAATTAAGTAGAGGGAGGAATCTTAAAGGGCAGCAAAAACGGGGGAAAGCCAGGAGCGGCCCTGTGAACATGAATTTGATAGAAAATGGAGAGAAGAGAAAACAGGCCCTCTGCCACAGAAAAAAACTCTTTTAAATAAAGTTGGTATTTCATCTATATATATTTCTATATAAAGATTCAAGATCAATAATTCTAACAATCGATCAACTTCACTTTCATTTTCTGTAGTTTGTCGGCTGTCCATATGTTCGATTATGCTTCTTAAATCTTTTTAAAATTTAATTAAAATGGCCTTTTTCTCGTTCTTGACATCCTTCCAAAGATGATTCTGTTGCAAACCTAAATGAATGCACAATATAATTAATTTTAATTTGTATTTTGGAATGTAATTATATATTTTTTTAATTCATATGAATTTTTAATATGGGTTAATTTTTGGAGGGGGGGGGGTAAAAATTATACCTATTTCAAAGTCCTGATCCTCGAGCTTGTCCAAGTCCTGTAGAATTAGTTGACTGATTTCCTGTTTAGTCTTCCTCTGTATGAAATTTAAACTTGTCCTATCATCGGGTAATATAACAAGAGGCCCATGGGCCTTATAGGTCACCTGAGCATTATGCAACAACTTTCAAATGATTGACTTTGGTTCATGTTTTAAGCTAGATGCTATGGCATTCACAATTTTGAAAGAGGCACCATTGCTAATCATAACTATACACTTAGCAATTGTTTAGTTTGTTTACTTAATACCGATAAGCAGGGTAGGGGAACAAAAAAGTATGTCAACTAATCAGTAATAATCAGGAGTGCACCTACCACACATGAACCCCTGACCCTAGGTCTACACATTGCACAATTTTTGAAAAAGCACACTTGCTTATCAAAAATGTTTGATTAATACCAAGGAGCAGATTTCAAACAATTCATTTTCAGTATATAAGTAGAGCCCCCCTCCCCATTTTGGTATCCCTGACCCAGGGGCCTTGAAATTCACAATTCTGGAAGAAGAGTCCAATTCATAACTATGTAAATAGTTCATCTGCTTATTACCCAGGAATAGAGAAAAAGATTTTCATAGATGTAATGTATTTTCACCATATAATCATTATAGTGCCCCGCCCTCAAACCAGAACCCCTGACTCTGGGACCATAAATTTCACAATTTTGGTAGAGGCACTCTTGCTCAACATAATTATGTACTTAATTAGTTTATTTTAAACCAAGGAGCAGAGAAGAAGATTTTCAAATATTTCATGCATTTTCACTATATAATCAATAGAGCCCAGCCCTAACACCAGAACCCCTGGCCCTGGGGCCATAAATTTCACAATTTTGGTAGAGGCACTCTTGCTCATCATAACTATTTACTTAGTTAGTTTAATACCTAGGAGCAGAGAAGAAGATTTTCAAAGATTTAATGCATTTTCACTATATAATCAATAGAGCCCTGCCCTAACACCAGAACCCCTGACACTGGGGACGTAAAATTCACAATTTTAGTAGAGGCATTCTTACTCATAATAACTATGTACTTAATTAGTTTATTTAATACTCAGGAACAGAAAAGAAGATTTTCAAAGAAATAATGCATTTTCACTATAAAATCAATAGAGCCCCACCCTAACACCAGAACCCCGGACCCTGGGGCCATAAAATTCACAATTTTGGTAGAGGCACTCTTGCTCATCATAACTATGAACTTAATTTGTTTATTAAATACCCAGGAGCTGAAAAGAAGATTTTCAAAGAATTAATGCATTTTCACTACATAATCAATACAGCCCCACCCAAACACCAGAACCCGTGACCCTGGGGCCATGAATTTCACAATTTTGGTAGAGGACTCAATGCTGATTACAATCATACCAACAGTTTGACTGCTTGATGTCCGGGAGTAAAGAAGAAGATTTTTAAAGATTGCACTAATTTTAGTGGTTTTTGCCCCACCCCCCAGGCCCCAGGGGGGCTGGGATCACGAAATTCACAATTTTTGTTCCCCTTCACCCATAGATGCTCTATGCCAAAATTGGTTGAAATTGGTTCAGTGGTTTCAGAGAAGAAGCTGAAAATGTTTAAATGTTAACGCACGACGCACACCGCACGACGGACGACGACGGACAAAAACAGATAGCAATAGGTCACCTGAGTTTACTCAGGTGACCTAAAAACAGGTTCTAATTTACATGTATTCACGGAGTTCACTTTTGAACGTTGTGAAATAAAATGATGAATGTTGTCTTTGCACTTTTGTGAAAAATGTACGAATTCTGTATCAAGCACTTTGTTGGACAGACTACGTGGAGAAATTTGTCGTTTTGGTGTTAGCAGGTACTCTGCATCCCTTGACTCTGCTCTCCAATGCAAATTTTCTTTAAGTTCGTGTGGTAAATGGCAGTTTCATCGTCTTTGTCTGTAGATGCGGACATACAATTACGAAGGTTCTTGGTAATCTTAAAAGATATATATACATTTCTTTCATATGTCATAATGAAAAACTGGTACGGAAAAGTTAAAAAAAATATTTATTAAAATATAAAGTCATTAAATTCAATATATTCTCTATATGTTTTTAATTAATATAATATTTTACACATTATGAGGAAATCATGCAACACTTTAATATGAATTTAATAATAAATCTGTTAATAAATAAAAAAGCATGCTCTCACAAGTATCAAGTTATGTTTTTGTGAGTGAGTTTGCTTTACGTAAGAGCAATGAATATGTAAAGTTATTATTTCATGCATATTATAGGCAAAAGAGCTGAACATCACAACTAACTGTGATGTACTGATAATGATTAGAACGCCGTGTGGTCAGAATCTACACTGGTACACCCCTCATTAACTTCAGAAGGTACATTTAGTTCTTTTTATTTATTTGAAGATGTACTTAAATTAAATCTATTTCTTTTATTTCATACACATGTAATGATAAATAAAAAATCTATTTTAAATAGGCTTTTGAGGAGTTAACTTCCGTTAAAACCTCTAACATAACTCCAGCACCACCCTGCATGTCAGTCCCAACCCAATCTATCTCTTCTCCTTGTGAAAATACTTCTCCTGATCAAGAACCCACCCTTCCCGATACAAATTCCATCACTGTAAATTCTTCTTTCAGCTATCCTTCCCCTCAACCATATACATCTTTTTCTTTCTCAATTTCTTGCACCCAATCCGACCCGGAAAATTCCCCCTCTAAATCTAACAAACGGAAAAGAAGTACGCTATCAAGTTCCACAACAGCAGCAGAAAAAAGTTTTAAGAGAAAAAAAAATCCAAAATAAATCTACACAAACGGAGGCCTTCGATGCCGAAGTGAAAAATCAGTGTAATGTTTGTTTGGGAAAAGAGGACAACGGGCAGTGGGTAGGATGCTCACATCGCGGTAATAAGTGTGAATATTGGGTTCATGACAGTTGCTTGGGTTTCAGTTTTAAAACCAAGAAACTTGTTAAACAAGTCACATTTCTATGTCCAACACACATGAAGTAAATAAAATAAAACAGTATTTCTAAAATAGCATTTGTTAGTCTCTTATTTTTAATGTGGTAAAATTATGCAAATTATTGAATATTAAATTTGTGCATATACATGCGACCATTATAATGGAATATGTGCGAAAATATGTTAAAATTTAATGTTATGTTTCGAAGTACATATAAAAGATAACCTTCTCTAATTATCTAAATTACAACACGTCTGTCGCCAGTGCTTATCTTGAGGAGCACCAGGGGGAAGCCACCTCTTAATTAATTTGCTCTTGGCTTCCAAAATGAAATGGCAGCCCTCCCTTTTACTGGGATGACCTGACTCTATATTAAAAGAAAGTAGGGATGGAAATTAAAAAAATATCTAAATATTCACTGTACATATTTATAAAATTGATATTTTTTATTATTACCCGGAATATAGCAAAAAAA